GGGTGCTCGCTGAGTTTGAGCAGAGTATCTGCTATGTGGCATGAACAAGGAGCTTGGGAAGAACCAATGCAGGAGGCTGACAAGAGGCTCCAGGTAGCAAAGGCCTTTTTCCACACCAACCTGGTTACACATCCCGGCCCACTACCCAAAAGAAGCTCCCAGCAAAGTTCTTCAGGACCCATAGCTGGGCCACAGAGATCAGCAGAGTGGAACCGAGATATCTGTGATGAAGCCTCCGAGAACAATCGTCTCCCATTGTGACAGCTGAGCCACTAAGGCCTGATTTGGACACACGTTGTTTTTGCACTTCTTGACGTATTCCCAGGACTTCTGTGAACATAAGGAGAGAAAGACTTCAGAATTGGACCTGGGCCCTTCCCAATTAGATCACAGCCAGCTCAGGAGGGACAGGAGGCATTTACCCATGGGCCAGCAACATGGCTTAAGGGCTGGACACAAATAGCAAGGGTTAATACATTAGGACAAAGAAGTCAGAGCTGGCAAGCCCCTCTGCATCTCTGCTTCTGAATACAGAGACAGGAATCATTCTTATTTCAGAGGCTCCTGTGAAGGTTGAGGCAACATACATAAAACCTCCTGTGAACAAGAAAGCATCATGCCCATGCCTGGCACACGGTGCAGCCTCAACAGAGGTTTGTGTTTTAAGTGGATAAATTAAGGGAAAGGGGAAGAGAACTATGGGCTAATTCTCTGAAGAAGGAAAATCAAAGCTGCCTTCTTTGTCCACACTAAAATGTGGGAATGGTTATTACTGGAAGTCAAGTGACAAGCTGGTATGATCTGGATTGAGAACAGAGGAAGAAGAAAAAGACAAAAGTGGTGCCTCAACAAACTAAGAATAAAAAGAAACTATCCTAACATAAGAAAGGTCATATATGAAAAGCCCACAGATAACATCATATTCAATGATGAAAGACTGACTGCTTTTCCTTCTTTGATCAGGACAAAACAAGGATGCCTGCTTTCACCACTTCTATTCAACATTGTACTAGAAGTCCTAGCCAGAGCAATTAGGAGAAACAAGAACAAGAAGAAAGAAATAAAAGGCATCCAAATTGGAAAGGAAGAAGTAAAATAATCTCTTTTTGCAGCTGACATGTTCTTATGTGTAAAATACCTTAAAGGTAACACACACACACAAAAAAAAAAAAACTTGTTAGAATAAATGAATATAGCATATTTACAGGATATAAAATCAACACTCAAAATCAGTTGTGGGACATCTGTAATACTGTCAAGAACAACAAAAAAACAGTTGCATATCTATACATAATAATGAACATTCCAAAAGGGAAATTAAGAAAATAATTTTCTATATATATAAAAAGCCAGCGACCGGAACACAGTAACCACCAGAACGACCGGTCACTATGACACCCACTGCGGCCAGCGAATGGGCCGATGGGGAGTGGGGGCCAGCTGGCTAACCTCGCATGGCCCCTGCCCCCAGCCAGCCCTGCTTCTGATCGGCCTCTCCCACCCTGATCAAGGGCAGGGCAGCTGGCCAACTGCGCCCCCAGCCCCCCACAGCCCTTCTCCCTACCTGGCCCCAACCCCGATGGGCCCTGCCCCC